GTCATGTGTGTGTGTCATGTGTGTGTGTGTGTGTGTGTGTTGTGTGTGTGTGTGTGTGTGTGTGTGTGTGTGTGTGTGTGTGTGTGTCATGTGTGTGTGTGTGTCTGTGTGTGTGTGTGTGTGTGTGTCATGTGTGTGTGTGTGTGTGTGTGTGTGTGTGTGTGTGTGTGTGTGTGTGTGTGTGTGTGTTGTGTGTCATGTTGTGTGTCACGTGTGCGTTGTGTGTTTCAGCTTCATTACTTGCGTTTGCCGAAGGAAATCTCGGAGGATTATGTGATTTTGATGGACAGCACCGTGTCGACCGGAGCCGCCGCGCTCATGGCCATACGAGTCCTGCTGGTACTTCAAATACTTCATGTACTAATACTTTAAATACTTTAAATACTTCAAATACTGATACTTTAACCCCGCCCTCGTCGTCCAGGACCACGACGTTCCCGAGGAGCGGATCTTCCTGCTGTCGCTGGTCATGGCGGAGTTGGGCGTTCACTCGGTGGCGTACGCTTTCCCCGGCGTCCGCATCATCAGCACGGCCGTGGACAAGGAAGTGAACGAGAACTTCCACATCGTCCCCGGAATCGGTCAGAACCTTTGACCTTTAATCTGAGTCTGTTACGTCTCCAAAGATCCGAACGCTCTGCTCCACCCGGTGATGTCATCAAGTGAACAGCTCCTTTTCCCTTTAGTTCAGTCGAGATCAGTGACTCCAGGACTGAAAGGTTCCAGATGATTCTAGTGAAGGTGTGTGGAGTTTAAAAACACAGTGGAGCACTTCCTGTATCACCACATGATGACATCACCAGGTGGAACAGTGTTTTTGTTTTGCTCAGTCTGATATCGTCCCTTTAAACTCTCGTCTTTCTCTTCAGGTAATTTTGGCGACCGATTCTTTGGCACAGACGCTCCTTCAGATTTCTGCGAGAGCGACGAGGGAATGGACTTCTGAACCCGAGAACGACGAGCGCGAGGACGAGGACTAATGACGAGGACGAGGACTAATGACGAGGACTAATGACGAGGACGAGGACTAATGACGAGGACTAATGACGAGGACGAGGACTAATGACGAGGACTAATGACGAGGACTAATGACGAGGATGATGACGAGAGACATGACGAGGACTAATGACGAGGACGAGGACTAATGACGAGGACTAATGACGAGGACTAATGACGAGGACGAGGACTAATGACGAGGACTAATGACGAGGACGAGGACTAATGACGAGGACTAATGACGAGGACTAATGACGAGGACGAGGACTAATGACGAGGACTAATGACGAGGACGAGGACTAATGACGAGGATGACGAGGACTAATGACGAGGACGAGGATGACGAGGACGAGGACTAATGACGAGGACGAGGACGAGGACTAATGACGAGGACTAATGACGAGGACTAATGACGAGGACGAGACTAATGACGAGGACTAATGACGAGGACGAGGACTAATGACGAGGACTAATGACGAGGATGAGGACGAGGACTAATGACGAGGACTAATGACGAGGACTAATGACGAGACTAATGACGAGGACTAATGACGAGGACGAGACTAATGACGAGGACTAATGACGAGGACGAGGACTAATGACGAGGACTAATGACGAGGACTAATGACGAGGACTAATGACGACTAATGACGAGGACTAATGACGAGGACTAATGACGAGGACGAGGACTAATGACGAGGACTAATGACGAGGCGAGACTAATGACGAGGACTAATGACGAGGACTAATGACGAGGACTAATGACGAGGACTAATGACGAGGACTAAGGACTAATGACGAGGACTAATGACGAGGACTAATGGACGAGGACTAATGACGAGGACGAGGACTAATGACTAATGAGGACTAATGACGAGGACGACTAATGACGAGGACTAATGACGAGGACGAGGACTAATGACGAGGACGAAGGACTGATGGACGAGGACTGAGGATGAGGACTGATGAGGAGGCTGAGTGGACTTCTGACGCGGGTGTGTGAGGACTTCTGACGCGGGTGTGGACTTCTGACGCGGGTGTGGACTTCTGACGCGGGTGTGGACTTCTGACGCGGGTGTGGACTTCTGACGCGGGTGTGGACTTCTGACGCGGGTGTGGACTTCTGACGCGGGTGTGGACTTCTGACGCGGGTGTGGACTTCTGACGCGGGTGTGGACTTCTGACGCGGGTGTGGACTTCTGACGCGGGTGTGGACTTCTGAATCGGAGAGAGAAAACGGACGTCATTTTGAACGTTTCTGCAGTCGGTCTTTCTGATCTCAGAGTTTCAGGTTTCACTGTTTTGCCTTAAAAACTTGAACATTTCCATTTGTGCTTTGAAAAGACGAGCTACTGAAACACGGACGGTAATCCTTAAAAAATACAAGTACTGTTACTCTGTGCTGTACATTACTCGAGTAAAAGTACAAGTACTGTTACTCTACACTAGATATGAATGAAAAATACTCTGAAGCACAGTTTTCTGTAGTACATGAGTACTACTCTCCTCTGAAAGTACTTCATATTTGGTTTTCTGTAGTACTCGAGTACTTCTCTCCTTCATATTTGGTGAAACTTGTTCTGACCGGACTTTTATTTTGTTGTAAGTCTCAGGCTCTTATTTTGAAAGGGACAAAAACCTTTTTACTTGAATTTGAAAACACGATGTTTAATTTTAGTTTTTTTTTCTCCGTAGACGTGAGTTTGACTTTTGTTCAGATCGTTTCAGCTTCATCGGCCACAAGGTTTTAAACTTTTATTTAAATCACTTTTACACTTTTTGGGTTCAGGGTTTTTATTTCATTTTTTTTACTTTTTCATATTTTTATATTTGACCAAAAGGATCCGACACTAGAACAAAACGAGACATTTATTAAAACAGTTTAGGGTCACAAATGTTTTAGTATAAAAATGTTTTTGACGTCGTCACGTTCTAACCGGAGGCACTGCTCCGTCTGAACAAAATATAAAAGTGTTCTTTCTTTAGACTTGTCAGTGTTTTTTAACGTGTGCCTCGTGTCGCCATGGAAACCGCTGCACATTCCACCATAGACATACATGTAGAACCCCCCAGCGCGACGTCACTGCAAAACTTCAGATGCAAATGTCTGAAATTAAACTAAATTGATCCAGAACTGTCGAGTGTTTTTTTTTTTTTTTTTTTTTTCTTTTATCATTCTGTACAATTCACTGAGATTAAATAAAATTAATTTAATAAAACAAAAACTTGAGTCACATTTTTGTCTTTATAAGAAAAACTTCAGCATTATTTTCTGTGTCCAATCTACAGTTTATTATCCTCTTTTTCTGTTTGGTTCCTGGTTCCTGTTTCCTGTTTCTTCCTTCCGTCTTCTCTCCAAACTTTCTTCTTCTTCTTTCTTTTTTTCAACGTTTTTCTTTTAAAAATGTTAAATTATTATTATAAAATTAAAATGTTATTCCTCGGTTTGTCCAGCAGGTGGAAGCAGAGATCTCTAATGTTTACGGCGGAAATGACGCACGGTGCTGCTTCAAGTGTCCGTTTACTTGATGGGAAATGGCACTTTCTACAAATATAAACACGCATTTCTTTACAATTGACCTCGTTTCATTTATTACGTGAATGTTTTGGGGTTTAATTCAAACTCCTGAGAATGTTGAGTGACGTTTTTGTGTTTTTTTAAATCCGGACTGTTCGTTTTATGAGTCTTCGTCTTTCTCTTTGTGAACCGTGAGAATCTTTTCATGACTTTAAAATGTCCGTCAGTTTGTGGACCGTGAACGCATCGTCCCAAACTCCGTGGATTTTCATTGACAGGTCCAAGCTGCACTTTTTATTTTATTTTATTTTACTGCTAAATATTTAAACTTTTACATAATTTACCACAGCGACACTAAAAGCAATGAAATCCGGTCACGTTTTCTGTTTAATCCGCATTTTAGACTCATAAATCGCGCGATGTTTTTCACTTTAAGTAAAATCGAACGAAGTCGAGATGAAATTCAATTTGTTCGAAGCTCAAAATGTGAAAATTAAAAACTAAAGTTAAAGTTTTACAGAAGTTTCCCTTTTAGGACGCGCACCGCAAAATGACAACGATCCTGCTTGGAAAAAATACAAATTATGAAACGGTTTGAGTTATTTAAACTTTTCGGATCGAGTTGGTCAGAATCTGTTTTTTGTTTCAGGAAAATCGAAAAACTTTTTTTAATTCGGCAAAAGCGGTTTTTGTGTAAGAATTTAGTAAATTTAGAATTTTGTCGTTTTAGAGAAATTTTATTCTATTCATGAGAAGAAATGTTTACACAGAGTTTTAGGATCCAGAACCAGAACTGAACCAGGACTAAACCAGGACTAAACCAGAACTGAACCAGGACTAAACCAGGTCTGAACCAGGACTAAACCAGGATTAAACCAGGACTGAACCAGGACTAAACCAGGTCTGAACCAGGACTGAACCAGGACTAAACCAGGACTGAACCAGGACTAAACCAGGACTAAAATTAAACCCAAGCCAGTTGTAATAAAATCAGATAAATCCTGGATTTTTATTTTTATTTATTTATTTTTTTTAAATCCTGGATTTTGGACTCGTCTCGTGGCTCAAAGTGACGTCACGTGTCGTTCATTACGACTTTAATCAGAGTCACGACGCAGACGCACAAAAAGATTCAGTTTGTGTGTCAGAGTTTGTGTGTCAGAGTTTGTGTGTCAGGGTTTGTGTGTCAGAGTTTGTGTGTCAGAGTTTGTGTGTCAGGGTTTGTGTGTCAGAGTTTGTGTGTCAGAGTTTGTGTGTCAGGGTTTGTGTGTCAGAGTTTGTGTGTCAGGGTTCGTGTGTCAGAGTTTGTGTGTCAGAGTTTGTGTGTCAGGGTTTGTGTGTCAGGAGTTTGTGTGTCAGGGTTTGTGTGTCAGAGTTTGTGTGTCAGGGTTTGTGTGTCAGAGTTTGTGTGTCAGGGTGTGTGTCGTGTGTCAGAGTTGTGTGTCAGAGTTTGTGTGTCAGAGTTTGTGTGTCAGAGTTTGTGTGTCAGAGTGTCAGGGTTGTGTGTCAGAGTTTGTTTGTGTTCAGGGTTTGTGTGTCAGAGTTGTGTGAGTTTGTGTGTCAGAGTTTGTGTGTCAGAGTTTGTGTGTCAGAGTTTGTGTGTCAGAGTTTGTGTGTCAGAGTTTGTGTGTCAGAGTTTGTGTGTCAGAGTTTGTGTTTCAGAGTTTGTGTGTCAGAGTTTGTGTGTCAGAGTTTGTGTGTCAGAGTTTGTGTGTCAGGGTCGTGTGTCAGAGTTTGTGTGTCAGATCAGAAACGTGGATTTTTGATTTTTTTAACTTTTGTCTTGTTTGTGGACACAGGATGTCGTCTCTGTGGAGGTCGTATCAGAGCCTGATGAGCAGACGCCCCCTGACCGTCCAGATCCTCACAGCAGGTCACAAGTACACAACAACTACACAACTACTACACAACTACTACACAACTACTACAACAACTACACAACTACTACACAACTACTACACAACAACTACACAACTACTACACAACTACTACACAACTACTACACAACAACTACACAACTACTACACAACTACTACAACTACACAACTACACAACTACTACTACACAACTACTACACAACTACTACACAACTACTACACAACTACTACACAACTACTACACACTACTACTACACAACTACTACTACACAAACTACTACTACACACTACTACACAACTACTACACAACTACTACACACTACTACTAACAACAACTACTACACAACAACTACTAACAAACACAACTACTACACAACTACTACACAACTAACAACTACTACACAACTACTACACAACTACTACACAACTACTACACAAACTACTACACAACTACTACAACAACTACTACACAACTACTACTACTACACAACTACTACACAACTACTCAACTACACAACTGCTACACAACTACTACACAACTACACAACTACTACTACACACTACTACTACACAACTACTACACAACTACTACACAACTACTACACAACTGCTACACAACTGCTACACAACTACTACACAACTACTACACAACTACTACACAACTACTACACAACTACACAACTACTACACAACTACTACACAACTACTACTACACACAACTACTACTACAAAACTACACAACAACTACACAACTACTACACAACAACTACACAACAACTACACTAACAACTACACAACTACTACACAACTACTACACAACAACTACACAACTACACAACAACTACACAACAACTACACAACTACTACACAACTACTACACAACAACTACACAACTACTACACAACTACTACACACTACAACTACTACACACTAACACAACTACTACACAACTACTACACAACTACTACACACTACTACTACACAACTACTACACAACTACTACACAACTACTACACAACTGCTACTACACAACTACTACACAACTACTACACAACTACTACACAACTACTACACAACTACTACACAACAGCTACACAACTGCTACACAACAGCTACACAACAACTACACAACTACTACACAACTACTACACACTACACTACAAACTACTACACACACTACTACACAACTACTACACAACTACTACACAACTACTACACAACTACTACTACAAACTACTACACAACTACTACACAACTACACAACTACTACACAACTACTACACAACTACACAACTGCTACACTACACAACTACACAACTACTACACAACTGCTACACAACTACTACACACTACTAACTACTACACAAACTACTACTAACAAACTACTACTACACACTACTACTACTACACAACTACTACACAACTACTACACAACTACTACACAACTACTACACAACTACTACTACACAACTACTACACAACTACTACACACACACAACTACTACACAACTACACAACTACTACACACAACTACTACTACACAACGACTACACAACACACAAAACTACTACAACAACAATACTACAACACAACTACTACACAACAACTACACAACAACTACACAACAACTACTACACAACAACTACTACACAACTACTACACAACTGCTACACAACAACTACACAACTACTACACAACTGCTACACAACTACTACTACACAACTACTACACAACTACTACACAACTACACAACAACTACTACACAACAACTACACAACAACTACACAAACTACTACACAACTACTACACAACTACTACTACAACAACTACACAACTACTACTACACAACGACTACACAACTACTACACAACAACTACACAACAACTACACAACTACTACTACACAACTACTACAACACAACAACTACTACACAACTACTACACAACTACTACACAACAACTACACAACTACTACACAACTGCTACACAACTACTACTACACAACGACTACACAACTACTACACAACTACTACACAACTACTACACACTACTACACAACTGACACAACAAACTACACAACTACTACACAACTACACAACACTACTACACAACAACTACTACACAACAACTACTACACAACTACTACACAACTACTACTACACAACTACTACTACACAACTACTACACAACTACTACACAACAACTACACAACAACTACACAACTACTACTACACAACAACTACACAACTACTACACAACTACTACAACACAACTACTACTACACAACAACTACACAACTACTACTACACACTACTACACAACTACTACACAACAACTACACAACTACTACACAACAACTACACAACTACTACACAACAACTACACAACTACTACACAACAACTACACAACAACTACACAACTACTACTACACAACTACTACACAACTACACAACTACTACACAACTACTACACAACTACTACACAACTACTACACAACAACTACTACACACAACTACACAACAACTACACAACTACTACACAACTACTACACAACTACACACAACTACACAACAACTACACAACAACTACAACAACTACTACTACACAACTACTACACAACAACTACTACACAACTACTACACAACTACTACACAACTACTACTACACACAACTACTACTACACAACTACTACACAACTACTACACAACAACTACACACAACTACACAACTACTACTACACAACAACTACACAACTACTACACAACTACTACAACACAACTACTACTAACAACTACACAACTACTACTACACAACAACTACACAACAACTACACACAACTACTACACAACTACTACACAAACAACTACTACACAACAACTACACAACTACTACACAACTACACACACTACACACAACTACTACACACACACAACAACTACACACTACTACACTACTACACAACTACTACAACAACTACACAACTACACAAACTACTACAACAACTACTACACAACTACTACACAACAACAACTACACAACTACTACTAACACACTACTACACAACAACTACACAACTACTACACAACAACTACAACAACTACTACAACAACTACTACTACACAAAACTACACAACAACTACTACACACAACAACTACACACAACTACACAAACTACTACACTACTACTACTACACAACTACTACTACACAACTACTACACAACTACTACAACAACAACTAACAACTAACAACACAACTACTACAACAACTACTACAACTACTACTACAACTACTACTACACAACTACTACTACACAACAACTACTACACAACTACTACACAACAACTACACAACAACTACTACACAACTACTACACAACTACTACACAACTACTACACAACAACACACACACTACACACTACTACACAACTACTACACAACTACTACACAACTACTACACAACTACTACTACACAACACTACTACTACAACAACTACACAACTACTACTACACAACTACTACACACTACTACTACACAACAACTACACAACAACTACACAACTACTACACAACTACTACTACACAACAACTACACAACTACTACACAACTACTACACAACTACTACACAACAACTACTACACAACAACTACACAACTCCAATGGGTCAAGCTGGATTTCGATATTCGATATTCATATCGATTCTGATCCACAATAAAAATAAAACTCTTTGTTTAGACGAACAAATGTGATTTTACATTTTAAATGGAAGAACTTTATTTTTTATTCCCATGTGTCTTTATCTGAACCAGGACTAAACCAGGACTAAACCAGGACTAGACCAGGTCTAAACCAGGTCTAAACCAGGTCTAAACCAGGACTATCCCAGGTCTAAACCAGGTCTAAACCAGGACTATCCCAGGTCTAAACCAGGTCTAAACCAGGTCTGAACCAGGACTAAACTAGAGTCGGACTAAAAGTTAAACCTAATGATTTTTTCAGTCCAAAGTTTGTGTTGACTCTGTGAACAAGACTAAGAACACAAATGGACCTGGTTTAGTCCTGGTTCAGTCCGGGTTTAGACCTGGTTTAGTCCTGGTTAAGTCCTGGTTTAGTCCTGGTTTAGTCCTGGTTTAGTCCTGGTTTAGACCTGGTTTAGTCCTGGTTTAGTCCTGGTTTAGTCCTGGTTTAGTCCTGGTTTAGTCCTGGTTTAGACCTGGTTTAGTCCTGTTTAGTCCTGGTTTAGTTTCCTGGTTAGTCCTGGTTCAGTCCTGGTTTAGTCCTGGTTTAGTCCTGGTTTAGTCCTGGTTTCCTGGTTTAGTCCTGGTTTATCCTGGTTTAGACCTGGTTTAGTCCTGGTTTAGTCCTGGTTTAATCCTGGTTTAGACCTGGTTTAGACCTGGTTTAGTCCTGGTTTAGTCCTGGTTCAGTCCTGGTTTAGTCTGGTTAGTCCTGGTTTAGTCCTGGTTTAGTCCTGGTTTAGTCCTGGTTTAGTCCTGGTTTAGTCCTGGTTTAGACCTGGTTTAGTCCTGGTTTAGTCCTGGTTCAGTCCTGGTTTAGTCCTGGTTTAGTCCTGGTTTAGACCTGGTTTAGTCCTGGTTTAGTCCTGGTTTAGTCCTGGTTTAGTCCTGGTTTAGTCCTGGTTTAGTCCTGGTTTAGTCCTGGTTTAGTTTAGTCCTGGTTTAGTCCTGGTTTAGTCCTGGTTTAGACCTGGTTTAGTCTGGTTTAGTCCTGGTTTAGTCCTGGTTTAGACCTGGTTTAGTCCTGGTTTAGTCCTGGTTTAGTCCTGGTTTAGTCCTGGTTTAGTCCTGGTTTAGTCCTGGTTTAGTCCTGGACCACTGAGGGTCACACAGATATAAAGATACATGGGAATAAAAAATATTATTATTATTTAAACACTTAAAGTGTAAAATCACATTTGTTTGTTTAAACAAAGAGTTTAATTATTATCGTGGGATCAGAATCGGTATCGAATATCGGGTATCGAATCTGTTCTTGGTATTGAAATTGAGTTTGAAATATTCTGTAGCATTGAGACTCACTAAACTCTGAGTGTCGTCTGAGCCAACAGTGGGACTCTGTGGCTCCCTCTTGTGTTCAGGCTCTCTGTAGTGACTCTGTGGCTCTCTGTGACTCACTGTGGCTCTCTGTGGCTCTTTTAGGCTCCCTGGTGTGACTCTGTGGCTCTCTGTGGCTCTCTGGTGTGACTCTTTGACTCTCTGTGGCTCACTGTGGCTCTTTTAGGCTCCCTGGTGTGACTCTGTGACTCTCTGTGGCTCACTGTGGCTCTGTGTGGCTCTTTTAGGCTCCCTGGTGTGACTCTGTGACTTTCTGTGGCTCACTGTGGCTCTGTGTGGCTCTTTTAGGCTCCCTGGTGTGACTCTGTGGCTCTCTGTGACTCACTGTGGCTCTCTGTGGCTCTTTTAGGCTCCCTGGTGTGACTCTGTGACTCTCTGTGGCTCACTGTGGCTCTCTGTGGCTCTTTTAGGCTCCCTGGTGTGACTCTGTGACTCTCTGTGGCTCTGTGTGGCTCTTTTAGGCTCCCTGTTGTGACTCTCTGCTCTTTTGGCTCACTGTGGCTCTTTAGGCTCCCTGGTGTGACTCTGTGCTCTCTGTGGCTCTCTGTGACTCACTGTGGCTCTCTGTGGCTCTTTTAGGCTCCCTGGTGTGACTCTGTGGCTCTCTGTGACTCTCTGTGGCTCTCTTAGGCTCCCTGGTGTGACTCTGTGGCTCTCTGTGGCTCTTTTAGGCTCCCTGGTGTGACTCTGTGGCTCTCTGTGACTCACTGTGGCTCTCTGTGGCTCCCTGGTGTGACTCTGTGGCTCTCTGTGGCTCTTTTAGGCTCCCTGGTGTGACTCTGTGGCTCTCTGTGACTCACTGTGGCTCTCTGTGGCTCTTTTAGGCTCCCTGGTGTGACTCTGTGGCCCTCTGTGACTCACTGTGGCTCTCTGTGGCTCTTTTAGGCTCCCTGGTGGGCGTGGGGGATGTGATTTCGCAGCAGCTCATCGAGAGGAAGGGTTTGTCCAATCACAGCGTCCGTAGAACCGTGAGGATGATGGGCATCGGCTTCTGCTTCGTGGTACGAGACTCCGCCCCCAAAAACACTCCCCCTTGTGATGTCATCATGTGGTAACGAGGCTCCGGAGCCTTGAGCCAGATTAAAGCTCCTGGAGTCAGGGTTGTTTTTATTTTGTATATTTCAAATATTTGGCTCAGAGACGGTTTGGCAGGACCGCACCTGTCAACGGTTCTGTTCAGTGTTTTTATGGACCAAGGTTCTGGTCCAGGACCAGGATCAGGACTAGACCAGGACTAAACCAGGACTAAACCAGGACAAAACCAGGTCTAAACCAGGACTGAACCAGAACTGAACCAGGACTAAACCAGGACTGAACCAGGACTAAACCAGGACTGAACCAGACTGAACCAGGACTGAACCAGGACTGAACCAGGAACTGAACCAGGACTGAACCAGGACTGAACCAGGACTGAACCAGGACTGAACCAGGACTGAACCAGGACTGAACCAGGACTGAACCAGGACTGAACCAGGACTGAACCAGGACTGAACCAGGACTGAACCAGGACTGAACCAGACTGAACCAGAACTGAACCAGGACTAAACCAGGACTGAACCAGAACTGAACCAGGACAACCAGGACTGAACCAGGACTGAACCAGGACTAAACCAGGACTGAACCAGGAGAACCAGGACTGAACCTAACCAGGACTGACTGAACCAGGACTGAACCAGAACCAGAACTGAACCAGACTGAACTGAACCAGACTGAACCAGGACTGAACCAGGACTAAACCAGGACTGAACCAACTGAACCAGGACTGAACCAGGAACCAGGACTGAACCAGGAACCAGGACTGAACCAGACTGAACCAGGACTAAACCAGGAAAACCAGGACTGAACCAGGACTGAACTGAACCTGAACCAGGACTGAACCAGACTGAACCAGGACTGAACCAGGACTAAACCAGGACTGAACCAGATTGAACCAGGATTAAACCAGGACTGAACCAGACTGAACCAGAACTGAACCAGGACTAAACCAGGACTGAACCAGGACTGACTGAACCAGGACTACTGAACCAGGACTGACTGAACCAGGACTGAACCAGGACTAAACCAGGACTACTGAACCAGGAACCAGGACTGAACCAGGACTGAACCAGGACTGAACCAGGACTGAACCAGGACTAAACCAGGACTGAACCAGGACTGAACCAGAACTGAACCAGGACTGAACCAGAACTGAACCAGGACTGAACCAGGACTGAACCAGGACTGACCAGGACTGACTAAACCAGGACTGAACCAGGACCTGCAGCTCTGTTGTGGTTTGACTCGAGTTTGAAGCGTCTGGGATGAAGATCAGATCCTCCAAATCCGAAGTTGAGGTTCTGGAAAAAGTCGTCTTGTCTCTGGGCGGGTGGAGAGTCTCTGCCTCAAGTGTCGTGAGACTGACAGGTCGACAGGTCTGACAGGTGGACAGGTGCAGCGTGAGACTGACAGGTGGACAGGTGCAGCGTGAGACGTGACAGGTGGACAGGTGCAGCGTGAGACTGACAGGTGGACAGCGTGGAGACAGGTGCAGGTGACAGGTGCACTGAGGTGGACAGGTGCAGCGTGAGACTGACAGGTGGACAGGTGCAGCGTGAGACTGACAGGTGGACAGGTGCAGCGTGAGACTGACAGGTGGACAGGTGCAGCGTGAGACTGACAGGTGGACAGGTGCAGCGTCCGGGCGTCTCCCTCAGAGACAGAGGTCGGAGCTCGGAGTAGAGCCGCTGCTCCTCCACGTGGAGAGGAGCGTCTGAGGGGAGGACGTCTGTTCTGACGTCTCCTGGACGTGTCCCTCAGGAGGTGTTCATGTCCCACCAGGAGGAGAGACCCAGGACACACTGGAGGGACCATGTCTCTGGACTGGACTGGGAACACCTCAGGTCCCACTGGAGGAGCTGGAGGAAGTGTCTGGGGTGAAGGAAGTCTGGGAGTCTCTGTTCAGACTGATGCTCCGAGACCCGACAGAGAAGAAGAAGAACATGGGGAACATGGATGGAACATGACGAAGAACAGAAGAACATGAAGAACATGAGAGAACATGAGAACATGAAGAACATGAGAACATGGGGAACATGAAGAACATGAAGAACATGAAGAACATGAACGAACATGGAACATGAAGAACATGAAGAACATGAAGAACATGAAGAACATGAACAGAACATGAACATGAAAGAACATGAGAACAGAACATGAAGAACATGAAGAACAAGAACATGAACATGAAGAACATGAAGAACATGAGGAACATGAAGAACATGAAGAACATGATGAGAACATGAACATGGAACATGAAGAACATGAGAACATGATGAAGAACATGAGAACATGAACATGAAGAACATGAAGAACATGAACATGAAGAACATGAAGAACATGAGAACATGAAGAACATGAAGAACATGAAGAACATGAGAACATGAGGAACATGAGGAACATGAAGAACATGAAGAACATGAAGAACATGAGGAACATGAAGAACATGAAGAACATGAGGAACATGAGGAACATGAGAACATGAAGAACATGAGGAACATGGAGAACATGAGGAACATGAAGAACATGAGGAACATGAAGAACATGAAGAACATGAAGAACATGGACAAATATAAACAAACAAAATGTGCAGATTTTCTGTTTTATTTCACTTTAGATTTTATCGTTTTATATTTACCTCCGAGAAAAAAACTTTGATAAAAAACATTTTTCTGCATTTAAATCTCTCATGTCTCTGTGTCCTCTGTGCTCTTGTCTCTGTCTCTGTCTCTCTGTCTCTTGTCTCTGTGTCCTCTTGTCTCTGGTCTCTTGTCTCTTGTCTCTGTGTCTCTTATGTCTCTGTGTCTCTCATGTCTCTGTGTCCCTCTTGTCTCTTGTCCTCTTGTCTCTGTGTCTCTCATGTCTCTGTGTCCCTCTTGTCTCTGTGTCCCTCTTGTCTCTCTCTCTTGTCTCTGTGTCCCTCTTGTCTCTGTGTCCCTCTTGTCTCTGTGTCTCTCTTGTCTCTGTGTCTCTGTGTCTCTTGTCTCTGTGTCTCTGTGTCTCTGTGTCTCTTGTCTCTGTCTCATGTCTCTGTGTCCCTCTTGTCTCTCTGTTCTTGTGTCTCTGTCTCTTGTCTCTGTGTCCTCATGTCTCTGTGTCCTCTCATGTCTCTGTGTCCCTCTTGTCTCTGTGTCCTCTTGTCTCTGTGTCTCTTGTCTCTGTGTCTCTGTGTCTCTGTGTCTCATCTCTGTGTCTCTGTGTCCTCTTGTCTCTGTGTCTGTGTCCTCTTGTCTCTGTGTCTCTCTTGTCTCTTGTCTCTTGTCCCTCTTGTCTGTGTCTCTCTGTGTCTCTGTCTTGTCTCTGTGTCTCTGTGTCTCTCATGTCTCTGTGTCCTTCTTGTCTCTGTGTCTCTCTTGTCTCTGTGTCCCTCTTGTCTCTGTGTCCCTCTTGTCTCTGTGTCTCTGTGTCCTCTCATGTCTCTGTGTCTCTGTGTCTCTCTTGTCTCTGTGTCTCTCATGTCTCTGTGTCCCTCTTGTCTCTGTGTCCCTCTTGTCCCTCTGTGTGTCTGTCTCATGTCTCTGTGTCTCTGTGTCCTCTTGTCTCTGTCTCTTGTGTCTGTGTCTCTGTGTCTCTGTGTCTCTTGTCTCTGTGTCCTTGTCTCTGTGTCCCTCATGTCTCTGTGTCTCTCATGTCTCTGTGTCCCTCTTGTCTCTGTGTCCCTCTTGTCTCTGTCCTGTGTCTCTTGTCTCTGTGTCCTGTGTCTCTTGTCTCTGTGTCTCTCTGTGTCTCATGTCTCTGTGTCCCTCTTGTCTCTTGTCTTCTTGTCTCTGTCTCTGTGTCCTCTTGTCTCTGTGTCCTCTTGTCCCTCTGTGTCTTCTTGTCTGTGTCTCTCTTGTCTCTGTGTCTCTGTGTCTCTTGTCTCTGTGTCTCTCTTGTCTCTGTGTCTCTGTCTCTTCCCTCTTGTCTCTGTCCTCTTGTCTCTGTGTCTCTCTGTGTCTCTGTGTCCTCTCTTGTCTCTGTGTCTCTTGTCTCTTGTCTCTTGTCTCTGTGTCCTCTTGTCTCTGTGTCTCTCTCTTGTCTCTGTGTCCCTCTTGTCTCTGTGTCTCTGTGTCCCTCTTGTCCCCTTGTCTGTCCCTCTCTCTGTGTCTCTCTTGTCTCTGTGTCCCTCTTGTCCCTCTTGTCTCTGTGTCTCTCTTGTCTCTGTGTCTCTCTTGTCTCTGTGTCTCTTGTCTCTGTGTCTCTGTGTCCCTCTTGTCTCTGTGTCCCTCTTGTCTCTGTGTCTCTCTTGTCTCTGTGTCCCTCATGTCTCTGTCCTCTCTTGTCTCTGTGTCTCTTGTCTCTGTGTCTCTTGTCCCTCTTGTCTCTGTGTCCCTCTTGTTCTTGTTCTCTTGTCTCTTGTCTCTCTTGTCTCTGTCTTGTCTCTGTCTGTGTCCTCTTGTCTCTGTTCTTGTCTCTTGTGTCCTGTGTCTCTGTCTCTTGTCTCTGTGTCCTCTTGTCTCTGTGTCCCTCTTGTCTCTGTGTCCCTCTTGTCTCTGTGTCCCTCTTGTCCTCAGGGTCCTGTCGTGGGCAGTTGGTACAAAGTTTTGGACAAACTGGTTTTGGGGACGAGTAAAAGTGCAGCTCTGAAGAAAATGCTGTTTGACCAGGTACAAGTACAAGTACTACAAATACTCTAAAGTACAAATACTAATTCTACTCTAAAGTACAAGTACTACAAATACTCTAAAGTATAAATACTAATACTACTCTGAAGTACAAATACTCTGAAGTACAAGTACTACTACTCTGAAGTACTAGTACAAATACTCTAATGAATTACTTTGCCGTGACATGGCGCTGGGGGGTTTGTACATGTCTGTCTGTGGTGGAATGTTCAGCAGTTTCCATGGAGACACGTCAACAAACTCTGACAGGAGTTTTTCAGACGGACTCTGCGTCGCGTCTCCGTGGAAACCGCTGAACATTCCACCATAGACAGACATGTAGAAACCCCCCAACACGACTGGAAATGATCCGTAAACAAACGTCTCTGCTCCGTGTTTCCAGCTCGGATTCGCTCCGTGTTTCTTGGGCGCATTTCTGGTTCTGTCTGGAGCTTTGAACGGACTCACACTGGACCAGAACCTCCACAAACTCAAACGGGTCAGTCACACAGAACCAGAACCTCCACAAACTCAAACGGGTCAGTCACACAGAACCAGAACCTCCACAAACTCAAACGGGGATTTAAAACGTCTGAGGAGGTAGAAATGTTCCGCAGTTGTTCTTTAAATGTCCCGTCATCCTCAGCTCTGCTTTAGTTGTTGCCGTGGAAACAGACGGTCCAGGTGTTTCTCTGATTGGTTAATCCACCTGTCAATCATCCCCGGCTGACAGTGTGATATTTCCGTCTCTTCGTGTTTACGCTCGACTCTTTTCCTCATTTCACAAACAAACACGATCCAGACGCCGTTTTCCACAGATCTGACCCGTGACCCGCCTCCCCACCCCCCCACACGCCACGCCGCCTCCTCGCCGCCGCCCCCCCCACGCCGCCCGAAACAGAAACAAACACCACACAACCCCAGTTCCTGTTTTAGCTTTGTTTACATCACAGACGACCAATCACAGCGCAGTATTTACACAGACACATTTAGACCCGAAAACCAGAACTAAACCAGGTCTAAACCAAGACTGAACCAGGACTGAACCAGGACTAACCCAGGACTAAACCAGGACTGAACCAGGTCTAAACCAGGACTAAACCAGGACTAAACCAGGACTGAACCAGGACTAAACCAGGACTAAACCAGGACTGAACCAGGACTAAACCAGGACTAAACCAGGACTGAACCAGGACTATACCAGGACTGAACCAGGTCTAAACCAGGACTAAACCAGGATTAAACCAGGACTAAACCAGGTCTAAACCAGGTCTAAACCAAGACTGAACCAGGACTAACCCAGGACTAAACCAGGACTAAACCAGGACTAAACCAGGACTAAACCAGGACTAAACCAGGACTAAACCAAGACTTAAACCAGGACTGAACCAGACTAAACAGGACTAAACCAGGACTGAACCAGGACTAAACCAGGACTGAACCAGGACTAAACCAGGACTGAACCCTGAAGAATAAAATCTTTTTTGTTTTGAAATTTTATTTTCTGTTCTTTGTTTTCAGGATTACACCGACGCTCTGATCTCAAACTACTACGTGAGTCCTTCATGTTCTAAAGTTCTAAAGTTCCACCGTCCAGAACCTGCCTCCATGTTTGAGTCATATAGTGATCTCTCCTGGGCTGTATTCGCGTTCAGCTGGAGACGTTTGGAAACATGTGGATGATGATTTCTCGTTTCGTTCTTGATAAAACCGAAAAGAACCGAGACACAAACTCACCAAGATGTTCCTCTGAGGACGAGACGAAACGGGCCTGAAGTGTGGATCTGCAGAACGTGACGGAACTCTACACTGACTCTTTTTTATTATTAAATTAAACAAATTATAAAACACAAATGAACAGGAGGAAAAACAAAAACCACAGCGACGTGGAGATGAAGAAAAACAACACTTTTTCTCAGTTTTCCAGATCAGTTCTTGTTCCCGACAGAACCAAAGGAAGTCACCGTCCACATGTTTCCAAACGTCTGACGGTTTTGTGACGTCAGCGTGAGTCAAACCGTCCTCACAGTGAGCGGTACGAGTCTGTACGAGGCTCCGCCCACAAGACTGAACATGTTTAATTTAAAACATTTAAAAAAAACTCTGAGATAAAAACTCTCTGTCTTCTGTTTCAGCTCTGGCCTCCGGTTCAAATCGCAAACTTCTACTTCATCCCCCTGCACCACAGGTACTTCAGATGCCCTCCCGCGGGTCAGAGTGTGGTGTCAGTGTGTGTGTGTCAGTGTGTGTCAGTGTGTGTCAGTGTGTGTCAGTGTGTGTCAGAGTGTGTCAGAGTGTGTCAGTGTGTGTCAGTGTGTGTCAGTGTGTGTCAGAGTGTGTCAGTGTGTCAGTGTGTGTGTCAGTGTGTGTCAGAGTGTCAGAGTGTGTCTCTGTGTGTGTGTCAGTGTGTGTCAGTGTGTGTCAGAGTGTCAGAGTGTGTCTGTGTGTGTGTCAGTGTGTCAGTGTGTGTCAGTGTGTGTCAGTGTGTGTCAGAGTGTGTCAGTGTGTGTCAGTGTGTGTCAGTGTGTCGTGTGGTGTGTGTAAGGGTGTGTCAGTGTGTGTCAGTGTGTGTCAGTGTGTGTAAGGGTGTGTCAGTGTGTGTCAGTGTGTGTGTCAGTGTGTGTCAGAGTGTGTCAGTGTGTGTCAGAGTGTGTGTCAGAGTGTGTCTCTGTGTGTGTGTCAGTGTGTGTCAGAGTGTGTCAGAGTGTGTGGTGTGTGTCAGTGTGTGTCAGTGTGTGTGTGTGTCAGTGTGTGTCAGAGTGTGTCAGTGTGTGTCAGTGTGTGTCAGAGTGTGTCGGTGTGTGTAAGGGTGTGTCAGTGTGTGTCAGTGTGTGTCAGAGTGTGTAAGGGTGTGTCAGTGTGTGTCAGTGTGTGTGTCAGTGTGTGTCAGAGTGTGTCAGAGTGTGTCAGTGTGTGTCAGAGTGTGTGTCAGAGTGTGTCTCTGTGTGTGTGTCAGTGTGTGTCAGAGTGTGTCAGTGTGTGTAAGAGTGTGTCAGTGTGTGTCAGTGTGTGTCAGAGTGGTGTCAGTGTGTGTCAAGTGTGTGTGTGTGTCAGTGTGTGTGTGTCAGAAAGGTGTGTGTCAGTGTGTGTCAGAGTGTGTGTGTGTGTCAGTGTGTGTCAGTGTGTCAGTGTGTGTCAGAGTGTGTCAGTGTGTGTCAGTGTGTGTCAGAGTGTGTGTCAGAGTGTGTGTCAGTGTGTGTGTGTGTCAGTGTGTGTGTGTCAGTGTGTGTCAGAGTGTGTGTGTGTGTCAGTGTGTCAGTGTGTGTCAGTGTGTGTGTGTCAGTGTGTGTGTCAGTGTGTCGGTGTGTGTGTGTGTGTGTGTGTCAGTGTGTGGTGTGTGTGTGTGTGTGTGTCAGTGTGTAGTGTGTGTCAGTGTGTGTCAGAGTGTGTCAGTGTGTGTGTCTGTCGGTGTGTGTGTCAGTGTGTGTGTCGGTGTGTGTGTCAGTGTGTGTGTCGTGTTGTGTGTCAGTGTGTGTTCTGTGTGTGTGTGTCAGTGTGTGTCAGTGTGTGTGTGTGTGTGTCAGTGTGTGTCAGTGTGTGTCAGAGTGTGTCAGTGTGTGTCAGTGTGTGTCGGTGTGTGTGTCGGTGTGTGTGTGTGTGTGTCAGTGTGTGTGTGTGTGTCTGTGTGTGTGTGTCAGTGTGTGTCAGAGTGTGTAAGGGTGTGTGTGATTGTGTCAGTGTGTGTCAGAGTGTGTGTCAGTGTGTGTCAGTGTGTGTCAGAGTGTGTCAGTGTGTGTGTCAGTGTGTGTCAGTGTGTGTCAGTGTGTGTTGTGTGTGTTGTGTGTGTGTGTGTCAGTGTGTGTGTGTGTCAGTGTGTCAGAGTGTGTGTCAGTGTGTGTCAGAGTGTGTCAAGTGTGTGTGTGTGTGTCAGTGTGTGTCTGTGTGTGTGTGTCAGTGTGTGTAAGGGTGTGTGTGGTGATTGTGTCAGTTGTGTGTCAGGGTGTGTGTGTGTCAGAGTGTGGTCAGTGTGTGGTGTGTGTGAGTGTGTGTCAGTGTGTGTGTCAGTGTGTGTCAGAGGTGTGTGTGTGTGTGTGGGTGTGTCAGTGAGTGTGTCAGTGTGTGTGTGTGTGTGTGTGTGTCAGTGTGTGTCAGTGTGTCAGAGTGTGTGTCAGTGTGTGTCAGTGTGTGTCAAGAGTGGTGTATGTGTGTGTGTGTGTCAGTGTGTGTCGTGTGTCAGTGTGTGTGTGTGTGTGTGTGTGTCAGTGTGTGTGTGTGTGTCAGAGTGTGTGTGTGTGTGTGTGTGTCAAGTGTGTAAGTGTGTGTGTCAGTGTGTGTCAGTGTGTGTCAGTGTGTGTCAGAGTGTGTGTGTGTGTGTGTCAGTAGTTGTGTCAGTGTGTGTCAGTGTGTGTGTCATGTGTGTGTCAGAGTGTGTAAGGGTGTGTGTGATTGTGTCAGTGTGTGTCAGTGTGTGTCAGAGTGTGTCAGTGTGTGTCAGAGTGTGTCAGAGTGTGTCGGTGTGTGTGTCGGTGTGTGTGTCAGTGTGTGTGTCAGTGTGGTGTCAGTGTGTCGTGTCAGTGTGTGTCAGTGTGTGTCAGAGTGTGTCAGTGTGTGTGTCGGTGTGTGTGTGTCAGTGTGTGTCGTGTGTGTGTCAGTGTGTGTCTGTGTGTGTTGTGTCAGTGTGTGTGTGTGTCAGTGTGTGTCAGGGTGTGTGTGGTGTCAGTGTGTGTGTCAGTGTGTGTCAGAGTGTGTCGGTGTGTGTAAGGGTGTGTCAGTGTGTGTAAGGGTGTGTGTGTGTCAGAGTGTGTGTCGGTGTGTGTCAGTGTGTGTCAGTCAGTGTGTGTCAGTGTGTGTCAGAGTGTGTCAGTGTGTGTCAGAGTGTGTGTGTGTCAGTGTGTGTCAGTGTGTGTAAGGGTGTGTGTGATTGTGTCAGTGTGTGTCAGAGTGTGTCAGTGTGTGTGTGTGTCAGTGTGTGTCAGTGGTGTGTAAGGGTTGTGTGTGATTGGGTGTGTGTGATTGTGTCAGTGTGTGTAGTGTGTCAAGTGTGTGTGTGATTGTGTCAGTGTGTGTAAGTGTGTGTGTGTGTGATTGTGTCATTGTGTCAGTGATGTGTCAGTGTGTGGTGTAAGGGTGTGTGTGATTGTGTCAGTGTGTGTGATTGTGTCAGTGTTTGTCAGAGTGTGTAAGGGTGTGTGTGATTGTGTCAGTGTGTGTGATTGTGTCAGTGTGTGTCAGAGTGTGTCAGTGTGTGTCAGTGTGTGTAAGGGTGTGTGTGATTGTGTCAGTGTGTGTCAGTGTTTGTCAGAGTGTGTAAGGGTGTGTGTGATTGTGTCAGTGTGTGTCAGTGTGTGTAAGGGTGTGTGTGATTGTGTGGTGTGTTGTCAGAGGTGTCAGTGTGTGTCAGAGTGTGTCAGTGTGTGTCAGTGGTGTGTCAGTGTGTGTGTGTGATTGTGTCATGTGTGTCCGGGTGGTGTAGGGTGTGTGTGATGTGTGTCAGTGTGTGTCAGTGTGTGTGTGTGTCAGGTGTGTGTGTGTGTGTGTGTGTAGTGTGTGTGTGTGTGTGTGTGTGTGTGTGTGTGTCAGTGTGTGTAAGGTGTGTGATTGTGTCAGTGTGTGTCAGTGTTTGTCAGTGTGTGTAAGTGTGTGTGTGTGTGTCAGTGTGTCAGTGTGTGTGTGTGTGTGTCAGTGTGTGTGTGTGTGTGTGTGTGTAGTGTGTGTGTGTGTGTGTGTCAGTGTGTGTCAGATGTGTGTGTGTGATGTGTGTGTGTCAGTGTGTGTGTGTGTGTGTGTATTGTGTCAGTGTGTGTGTGTGTGTCAGTGTGTGTCAGTGTGTGTCAGTGTGTGTCAGTGTGTGTGTGTGTGTCAGTGTGTGTCAGTTGTGTCAGTGTGTGTGAGTGTGTGTGTGTGTGTGTCAGTGTGTGTAAGGGTGTGTGTGATTGTGTCAGTGTGTGTCAGTGTGTGTAAGGGTGTGTGTGATTGTGTCAGTGTGTGTCAGTGTGTCAGAGTGTGTAAGGGTGTGTGTGATTGTGTCAGTGTGTGTCGTGTGTGTGTGTGTGTGTGTGATTGTGTCAGTGTGTGTTGTGTGTGTGTGTGTGTGTGTCAGAGTGTGTAAGGGTGTGTGTGATTGTGTCAGTGTGTCAGTGTGTGTGTCTGGGTGTGTGTGTCAGTGTGTCAGTGTGTGTGTCAGTGTGTGTCAGAGTGTGTGTGTGTGTGTGTGAGTGTGTGTCAGTGTGTGTGTCAGTGTGTGTCAGTGTGTGTGTGTGTGTGTGTGTGTTGTGTCAGTGTGTGTCAGTGTGTGTAAGGGGTGTGTGATTGTGTCAGTGTGTCTGTGTGTGTGTCAAGTGTGTAAGGTGTGTGATTGTGAGTGTGTGTCAGTGTGTGTGTGTGTGTGTGTCAGTGTGTGTCAGTGTGTGTGTGTGTGTGTCAGTGTGTGTCAGTGTGTGTCAAGTGTCAGTGTGTGTGTGGTGTGTGTCAGAGTGTGTAAGGGTGTGTGTGTGTGTCAGTGTGTGTCAGTGTGTGTAAGTGGTGTGTGTGTGTGTGTCAGTGTGTGTCAGTGTGTGTCAGTGTGTGTAAGAGTGTGTGTGGTTGTGTCAGTGTGGTGTGGTGTGTCGGTGTGTGTCAAGTGTGTGTCAGGGTGTGTGTGATTGTGTCAGTGTGTGTCAAGTGTTTGTCAGAGTGTGTAAGGGTGTGTGTGATTGTGTCATGTGTGTCAGTGTGTGTAAGGGTGTGTGTGATTGTGTCAGTGTGTGTCATGTGTGTGTGGTGGTGTGTGAGTGTTCATGTTGTAAGGGTGTGTGTGTGTCAGTGTGTGTGTGTGTAAGGGTGTGTGTGATGTGTGTGTCAGTGTGTGTCAGAGTGTGTAAGTGGTGTTGTGTGATTGTGTGTGTGTCAGTGTGTGTGTGTGTTGTCAGTGTGTGTGTGTGTGTCAGTGTGTGTCAGAGTGTGTAAGGGTGTGTGTGATTGTGTCAGTGTGTGTCAGTGAGTGTGTGTGTGTGTGATTGTGTGTGTGTGTCAGTGTGTGTCATGTGTGTGTGTCAGTGTGTGTCAGTGTGTTGTGTGTAAGAGGTGTGTGTGTTGTGTCAGTGTGTGTTCAGTGTGGTGTGTGTGTGTGTGTGTGTGTCATGTGTGTCAGTGTGTGTCAGTGTGTGTCAGTGTGTGTCAGTGTCAGTGTGTGTCGTGTGTGTAGTGTGTGTTGTGTCAGTGTGTGTCAGTGTGTGTGTGTGTAAGTGTGTGTGTGTGTGTCAGTGTGTGTCAGTGTGGTCAGAGTGTGTGTGTCATGTGTGTCAGAGTGTGTCAGTGTGTGTCAGTGTGTGTCAGTGTGTCAGTGTGTGTCAGTGTGTGTCGTGTGTGTGTGTGTGTGTGTGGTGATGTGTCAGTTGTGTCAGTGTGTGTCTGTGTGTGTGTGTGTGTGTGTCAGTGTGTGTAAGGGTGTGTGTGTGTGTCAGTGTGTGTGATTGTGTCAGTGTTGTGTCAGTGTGTAAGGGTGGTGTGTGTGTCAGTGTGTGTCAGTGTGTGTCAGTGTGTGTTGAGTGTGTCAGTGTGTGTCAGTGTGTGTCAGTGTGTGTGTGTGTGTGTCAGAGTGTGTCAGTGTGTGTCAGAGTGTGTCAGTGTGTGTGTGTGTGTGTCAGTGTGTGTCAGTGTGTCAGAGGTGTGTGTGAGTGTCAGTGTGTGTCAGTGTGTGTGTAAGGGTGTGTGTGATTGTGTCAGTGTGTGTCGTGTGTGTGTCAGTGTGTGTGTGTGTGTGTGTCAGTGTGTCAGTGTGTGTCAGTGTGTGTTGTGTCTGTGTCGTTGTGTGTGTGTGTCAGTGTGTCAGTGGTGTGTGTGTCAGTGTGTGTCAGTGTGTGTAAGTGTGTGTCAGTGTGTGTGTCAGTGTGTGTCAGTGTGTGTCAGTTTTGTGTGTAGTGTAATGTGTGTGATGTGTGTGATTGTGTCAGTGGTGTGTCAGAGTGTGTAAGGTGTGTGTTGTGTGTGTGTCAGTGTGTGTCAGTGTGTGTAAGGGTGTGTGTTTGTGTCAGTGTGTGTGTGTCAGTGTGTGTCAGTGTGTGTGAGTGTCAGGTGTGTGTGTCAGTGTGTGTCAGTGTGTGTCAGTGTGTGTAAGTGTGTGTGTGTGTGATTGTGTCAGTGTGTGTCAGTGTGTGTGTAAGGGTGTGTGTGTCATTGTGTCAGTGTGTGTGTCAGTGTGTGTCAGAGTGTGTAAGGTGTGTGTGATTGTGTCAGTGTGTGTCAGTAGTGTGTAAGTGTGTGTGTGAGTGTGTGTCAGTGTGTGTCAGTGTGTGTCAGTGTGTGTGTGTGTGTGTGTCAGTGTGTGTCAGTGTGTGTGTCAGAGTGTGTCAGGGTGTGTGTGATTGTGTCATCAGTGTGTGTCAAGTGTGTGTAAGGGTGTGTGTGTGTGTGTGTCAGTGTGTGTAAGGGTGTGTGTGATTGTGTCAGTTGTGTGTCAGAGTGTGTCAGTGTTCAGTGTGTGTGTCAGTGTGTGTCAGTGTGTGTCAGAGTGTGTCAAGTGTGTGTGTCAGTGTGTGTCAGTGTGTGTGTCAGTGTGTGTCAGTGTGTGTCGTGTGTGTGTGTCAGTTGTGTCCAGTGTGTGTCAGTGTGTGTCTGTCAGTGTGTGTCTGTGTGTGTGTGTCAGTGTGTGTCAGTGTTGTGTCATGTGTGTGTGTCAGTGTGTATTGTGTCAGGTGTGTGTGTGTGTGTGTCAGTGTGTCAGTGTGTGTCAGTGTGTGTCAGTGTGTGTGTGTGTGTCAGTGTGTGTCAGTGTGTGTCAGTGTGTGTAAGTGGTGGTGTGTGCATGTGTGTGTCAGAGTGTGTGTGTGTCAGTGTGTCAGTGTGTGTCAGTGTGTGTGTGTCAGTGTGTGTCAGTGTGTGTAAGGTGTGTGTGTGATTGTGTCAGGTGTGTGTGTGTGTCAGTCAGTGTGTCAGAGTGTGTGTAAGTGTGTGTGTGTCAGAGTGTGTGTCAGTGTGTGTGTCAGTGTGTCAGTGTGTGTCAGTGTGTGTGTGATTGTGTCAGTGTGTGTGTCATGTGTGTGTGTGTCAGTGTGTGTCAGTGTGTGTCAGTGTGTGTCAGTGTGTGTCAGTGTGTGTCAGAGTGTGTAAGGGTGTGTGTGATTGTGTCAGTGTGTGTCAGTGTGTGTAAGTGTGTGTGTGTCAGTGTGTGTCAGTGTGTGTCAGTGTGTGTGTAAGGTGTGGTGTGTGTCAGTGTGTGTCAGTGTGTGTGTCAGTGTGTGTCAGTGTGTGTGTGTCAGTGTGTGTCAGTGTGTGTGTCAGTGTGTGTGTGTGTGTGTCAGTGTGTGTGTGTGTCAGTGTTGTCAGAGTGTGTCAGTGTGTGTGTGTCAGTGTGTGTCAGTGTGTGTCAGTGTGTGTCAGTGTGTGTGTGTGTGTGTGTGTCAGTGTGTGTCAGTGTGTGTCAGTGTGTGTCAGGTGTGTAAGTGTGTCAGTGTGTGTCAGTGTGTGTGTGTGTGTCAGTGTGTGTCAGTGTGTGTCAGTGTGTGTCAGTGTGTGTGTCAGTGTGTCAAGTGTGTGTCAGTGTGTGTCAGTGTGTGTGTGTGTGTCAGTGTGTGTGTCAGTGTGTGTGTGTGTGTTGTGTCAGTGTGTGTGTCAGTGTGTTGTGTCAGTGTGTGTGTGTAAGTGTGTGTGTGTGTCAGTGTGTGTCAGTGTGTGTCAGTGTGTGTCAGGTGTGTGTGTGTGTCATGTGTGTGTCAGTGTGTGTGTGTGTGTGTGTCAGTGTGTGTCAGTGTGTGTGTGTGTGTGTGTCAGTGTGTCAGTGTGTCAGTGTGTGTCATGTGTCAGTGTGTGTGTGTGTGTGTGTCAGTGTGTGTGTGTGTCAGTGTGTGTCAGTGTGTGTGTGTGTGTGTGTGTGTGTGTGTGTCAGTGTGTGTCAGTGTGTGTCAGTGTGTGTGTGTGTAGTGTGTCAGTGTGTGTCAGAGTGTGTAAGGGTGTGTGTGATTGTGTCAGTGTGTGTCAGTGTGTGTCAGTGTGTGTAAGGGTGTGTGTGATTGTGTCAGTGTGTGTCAGTGTGTGTAAGGGTGTGTGTGATTGTGTCAGTGTGTGTCAGTGTGTGTAAGGGTGTGTGTGATTGTGTCCCGTGTGTCACCTTCTGCTCTGGGGCAGGTTGGCCGTGGTCCAAGTCGTCGCTGTGATCTGGAACTCCTACCTCACCTGGAAGGCCAACCAGGACTAAACCAGGACTAAACCAGGACTAAACCAGGACTAAACCAGGACTAAACCAGGACTAAACCAGGACTGAACCAGGACTGAACCAGGACTAAACCAGGACTAAACCAGGACTAAACCAGGACTAAACCAGGACTACTGAACCAGGACTGACTAAACCAGGACTGACTAAACCAGGACTAAACCAGGACTAAACCAGGACTGAACCAGGACTGGACTAAACCAGGAACCAGGACTAAACCAGGACTAAAACCAGGACTGAACCAGGACTAAACCAGGAACCAGGACTGACTGACTAAACCAGGACTAAACCAGGACTAAACCAGGAACCAGGACTAAACCAGGACTAAACCAGGACTAAACCAGGACTAAACCAGGAAACCAGGACTAAACCAGGACTAAACCAGGACTGAACCAGGACTGAACCAGGACTGAACCAGGACTAAACCAGGACTGAACCAGGACTGAACCAGGACTAAACCAGGACTAAACCAGGACTAAACCAGGACTAAACCAAGACTAAACCAGGACCTGGATTTGAGCTCGACTCTGTCTGGAGAAACTTGAATCATTCACAAATTTTTTTCTGGAAACTTCTATAAAAATGCCACATGGTCGTCGCTGCAGCTGAGAAGAACCACAGAGTCCAGACCCGACCCGACCCCAGAGTCCAGACCCGACCCAGACCCCGACCCCAGAGTCCAGACCCGACCCGACCCCAGAGTCCAGACCCGACCCAGAGTCCAGACCCGACCCGACCCCAGAGTCCAGACCCGACCCCAGAGTCCAGACCCGACCCGACCCAGAGTCCAGACCCGACCCAGAGTCCGGACCCGACCCGACCCAGAGTCCAGACCCGACCCCAGAGTCCGGACCCGACCCGACCACAGAGTCCAGAGAGACCCGACCCAGAGTCCAGACCCGACCCCAGAGTCCAGACCCGACCCCAGAGTCCGGACCCGACCCGACCACAGAGTCCAGACCCGACCCCAGAGTCCGGACCCGACCCGACCACAGAGTCCGACCCGACCCCAGAGTCCGGACCCGACCCGACCACAGAGTCCGGACCATGACCAGACTCCTCACTCTGACCTCTGACCTCTGACCCGCTGTACTTGACCCTGAGGTTTGAACTTCAACATTTTGTCCGAAATTAAAATGAAAACATTAAGAACAGACCAATCAGACGCCTTGTTTCCCCGAGGCCCCTCCCCCTGGTTTTAGCAACAGGTTTGATTGACAGCTCCAGATTATCTGCTGTAACTGCAGTTGTCCATGAGCTTCATTTGACTGGAGCCTGGTCTTCACAAAGTTTATTCAGATGTTTAAAACGAACGAAGCCGCGGCTGGAGAATCGTCTGTCGCTGAGGAGGAGAAGGAGGAAGAAGAAGACAAAAGCTCAGCCCACTCCCGCATCCCTCTCACAAATCCAAAGAGACGTGGATCAAAGTCCCGAGACAGAACTGGACCAGGACCAGGACCAGGACCAGGACCAGGAGGACGACACGAGGAGCCTGAAGCATCAGCAGCATTTGAACAACAACAAACCACAAACAGGATCCAGGAAACAAACTCAGTCACATTTAACATCACAACAAAACAAACTCTTACTTTAATATTCAGATTAAATCACAATCAACATTTTCATCTGTTTACATGAACATGAACAAGACGAAGTCAGTTTGATTTAGAATTTAATTATTTTTATTCATATTTAAATCTCATGTAAACGTGGACACCACACACTCTTTCTGGACTTTTTACAAAATTTCTGCTCTGGGGAAAAAAAAAAAACTACATGAAGAAAGTTTCACCTCTTTAAGTCCAACAAGAAAATATTCAGAATTTAATCGAGTTTCAAATCATGAAGTTTGACTCATTTTAGTCTGAACTTTATTTAAGTCAAAGCTGCTGAAGGACACAGACTTTACTCCTCATGAAGTAAAAGTTTATTTAACACTTGACCTGTAGTAAAAATACATTTAACACCTGTACTGTTACTGTGTACTGTTACTGTGTACTGTTACTGTGTACTGTTACTGTGTACTGTTACTGTGTACTGTTACTGTGTACTGTTACTGTGTACTGTGTAGGTTACTACATTCCTGAAGCTCTGAGTTCTGTTGTTTCATTTCATTTTGTCAATAAAACTTTACAGGTTTGAACCGGAGACTTTTCTCTTTTTCATTAAACATTTTAACTTTAAAAAAAAAAATGTTTTCAGAACGACCTACGGGAATCTAACCCACAACCTCCTGGTGAGAGGGAGAGGTTCAGCCCTGTGCCAGTGTACACGTGTGCCAGGGCCCGTGTGCCAGGGCCCGTGTGCCAGGGCCCGTGTGCCAGGGCCCGTGTGCCAGGGCCTGTGGTGTGATGTAGCGTCGGGGAAATGTGCAGGAGCAGGTTTCTGTTTCTTTCTGTCTCTTTTGCTGTGGGAGTTTTTGGAGCAGATGTTTGGACCTGACAGAACCTGATGTTCTAATGATTCTAATGATTCTAAAGTTTGAAAGTTCAGACTTGTGAAATCTTAAAGGAGCCACACGTTTCTTTTTCTCACTGTTTTAAAAGGTTCTGCAGTCAGAGTCATGTGACACTTGTTCTGTGTTCTGATTGGACAATCTGGAACCAAAACTCCAAATTAGAAAAATAAACGAGACGACGTGAAAAATGAATCACATCAGCCGCGTTCAGCAGAAGATCTGTTTGATCTGAACATGTTTAACTCGTGTTTTTCTCGTGTTTAACTCGTGTTTATCTCGTCTCTGGAGACACAGAATGTTCCGTACTGTTCCTTTAAATCTCAGATTCATAAAAACATGTTTTAAACTTTGAAATGTTGCAGGTGTCACTTTTGTGGAGGAGGCGCCGACAGCTTCATGGTTGTTTTTTTTTGTTTTTTTCATTTACTCAGTTTCTTTTTTCTGTTCTGTTTTTCTTGTTCACAAACACATGAGCCTCTCCACAGATCTGACCTGTAACTCTGCTGCTGCTGTTCCTGTTTCCATGGAGACCAGTTCAAAAATACAAACGTAAGTTTACTGTTTGTTTGGTTTTTTACCTGTGAAACCCTAAAAAACAAGGTAAAAACCAGGTCTAAACCAGGTCTAAACCAGGACTAAACCAGGTCTAAACCAGGTCTGAACCAGGACTAAACCAGGACTGAACCAGGACTGAACCAGGTCTAAACCAGGACTCGTGTGGAGGTTTGGTCTCCTGGTCTGTCGGTGTTTTCCGGTGACGTTTGTGAAGTTGCATCAGTCGATCTAAAAGTTTAAAATCTTTTAAAGCCGAATTTATTTTATACTCTTTAAAGTCTCGTTACAAAAGGAGCTGTGCCCATGAGCAAGACACTTCACGACCATAAAAACCTCCAGAGAACAAACGTGTGTGTGACGCCGACTCTCCTGTTTAAACCTGAGTCTGTGTGTGTGTGTGTGTTTGTGTGTCTGTGTTTGTGTGATTGTGTGTGTTGTTTAGACCTGGTTTAGTCCTGGTTTAGACCTGGTTTAGTCCTGGTTTAGTCCTGGTTTAGTTCGGGTTTAGACCTGGTTTAGTCCTGGTTTAGTCCTGGTTTAGTTCGGTTTAGACTGGTTTAGTCTGGTTTAGTTCTGGTTTAGTCCTGGTTTAGTCCTGGTTTAGTTCGGGTTTAGACCTGGTTTAGTCCTGGTTTAGTTCTGGTTTAGTCCTGGTTTAGTTCTGGTTTAGACCTGGTTTAGTCCTGGTTTAGTCCTGGTTTAGTTCTGGTTTAGACCTGGTTTAGTCCTGGTTTAGTCCTGGTTTAGTTCTGGTTTAGACCTGGTTTAGTCCTGGTTTAGTCCTGGTTTAGTTCTGGTTTAGACCTGGTTTAGTCCTGGTTTAGTCCTGGTTTAGTCCTGGTTTAGTTCTGGTTTAGTCCTGGTTTAGACCTGGTTTAGTCCTGGTTTAGTTCTGGTTTAGACCTGGTTTAGTCCTGGTTTAGTCCTGGTTTAGTCCTGGTTTAGTTCTGGTTTAGTCCTGGTTTAGTCCTGGTTTAGTCCTGGTTTAGTTCTGGTTTAGACCTGGTTTAGTCCTGGTTTAGTCCTGGTTTAGTCCTGGTTTAGTTCTGGTTTAGTCCTGGTTTAGACCTGGTTTAGTCCTGGTTTAGTTCTGGTTTAGACCTGGTTTAGTCCTGGTTTAGTCCTGGTTTAGTCCTGGTTTAGTTCGGGTTTAGACCTGGTTTAGTCCTGGTTTAGTCCTGGTTTAGTTCTGGTTTAGACCTGGTTTAGTCCTGGTTTAGTCCTGGTTTAGTCCTGGTTTAAATGTAAATTAAACCTGGACTTTGTTTTTGTTGGTTTCAGCACCGCGGACAGTTCCCCCGCTCCCCGCGCTCCAACCGACCCTCCGCGGCCGCTTCAGGCGCCTCAGCCCGGGCAGAACCTCCTCGGCCCGGGCAGAACCTCCTCGGACCGGCAGAACCTCCTCGGCCCGGGCAGAACCTCCTCGGCCCGGGCAGAACCTCCTCGGCCCGGGCAGAACCTCCTCGGCCCGGGCTGAACCTCCTCACTCGGCCCCTCGGTCCCGGGTCTCTCTCCCGGGACCCGCCGCTCACACACGCGCACGTGCTGACGTCACAGCGGCGCATAAAAGCGGCGCGTGGCGGTCAGTTTGCGCGCACACCTCACGGACCGCGGGACGGCGCATCACGGACACGGACACATCACGGACACGGACACATCACGGACACGGCGTAAAGTAAGACATTTCACTGTTCTCATGTTTTTCTTTTTCATCTGCGCGTCTTTTTCCGTTAAAACAGTTTCGGGTTTTTGTCTGAACTTGTTTTCGCTTTTACGCGTGAAAGGTGAAAATTACAAACAGAACAAACGCGTGTCTTTCTGCGCAGACACAGATTTTTCAAACCTTTTTTTTTTCTTCATTTCTCACAAATGTTTGTTTTTTGTTGCGTAACTGGAGCCTGTGACGCGCGTCTCGGTTCGTGCGTTTTTACGCACAAAAAGAAACGAGAAAAAAAAACAGAAACAAAAGGTCGAAATCTGAAAAATGTCTCAAGGAAAAAACGTCCAAAAACTCCATCAATAAAACGATTTTATTAGAACCCAGGAAAAGGCACAAATGATTAAAATCCTTTTACATCAAAATCTTAAGGATTTTTTAAATTTAAATAAACATTTTATTTTTGTTGGAATCAGATTAAATTTTCCAAAATGTTCCAAACATCAACACAAGTTCATGTTTCAGTCTGAGCTCCTGTTCTCTGCTGAGTGACTGTGTCACTTTTCACATCTTTATCTTTTTTTTTTATATTTAATGAGGCAGAAAATGACCGAAGCTGAAAATTTGATTAAAACACGAACAGAAAAAAATCCCGAGTTGAAAGTGAAAGTGAAAGTGAGTTTAATCTTTGAAATGAAGCAGATCTGAAATAAAACTACAATAAAAATACAAGAATAAATACAATAATAAATATTGTGTCTCCTTCTGCCGCTGCTGTGGTGTCGATTCTTCTGTTCAGTAAAATTAAAAATAAAAATAAAAATAAAAATCATTTTCTCTTGTTTAAAAAATGTCCCATAATCCTCTGTTCTGATCTTATATTATTTCCTGGAGTCGTGTTTTATTTCATTCACATGTTTCACACAAACCTGCACATTTAACACGAGTTTTTCTCTCAAACTGAAAACACTCTGTTCCACCTGGTGATGTCATCATGAGGTGATACAGGAAGTGCTCCACTGTGTTTTTAAACTCCACACTTCACCTTCACCTGAATCATCTGGATCATTTTTATCGTTTGTTTTTAGTTTTTCTTTTGGCGAACGTCTGAATCCCGTTTTGTGTTTTTCAGGATGAAGTCTGCCTCCTTGCTCCTCCTCCTCGTCTCCTCCGTCCTCGTCTCCTCTCCTCTCTCCTCCTCGTCTCCTCTCTTCCTCGTCTCCTCCTCCTCCTCGTCTCCTCCGTCGCTCCGCCCCGTCGCCCTGCAGCTCCTCCGGCTCTTCCGCCCGCGGCTGCCCCCCCCGCGCCGCGCTCGCCCGCCCCGGGACCCCCCGCCGTCGCCCTGGAGACCGACGACGAGGCGTTCGGTGGCTCGGAGAAGAGCAGGAGAGACGAGCCTCCCCTCTCCATAGACCTGACGTTCCACCTGCTCCGGAACATGATCCACATGGCCAAAGTTCAGAGTCAGAGGGAACAGGCGCTGATCAACCGCAAAGTCATGGACGAGGTCGGAAAGTGAACGCACCACTGACCCTGAACGCACCACTGACCCTGAACGCACCACTGACCCTGAACGCACCACTGACCACTGACTGAACGCACCACTGACCCTGAACGCAC